TTTCAGAAGCCCTGTCTTCCTCATTCTTCTTCACACAGCGCATAGTCAACCTGTGCCATGACGTGCTCTGATTAGTGGGTGTGAGTGTCTCTGTGTGTTGCTAAGGTAGGAAGAACCCCATCCTGAGGAACCTAGTTCCTGCAGTAGAGCTCCAGTGGGAGGGGGAATTGGCAGCAGGGAGAATTCACCTCCATATGAGAGTTCAGAAGCCCTGTCTTCCTCATTCTTCTTCACACAGCGCATAGTCAACCTGTGCCATGACGTGCTCTGATTAGTGGGTGTGAGTGTCTCTGTGTGTTGCTAAGGTAGGAAGAACCCCATCCTGAGGAACCTAGTTCCTGCAGTAGAGCTCCAGTGGGAGGGGGAATTGGCAGCAGGGAGAATTCACCTCCATATGAGAGCACAAGTAAGCACCAACAGCACACTGATCGAATTGTTAACCTTCCCCCAGTCCCATAAGAGTAACCTTAATAAATGAGCATACCCCAGAGTATTGGGCTAATCTGGTAACAGCACGGACTAAAATGCTTACAATATTTTTTTTAGTGAGACCACCTTGGCAATGAATCTTCCTCAGTCAGAAAGTTACAGATCGTTTGAATTGTCTATAGCATTTTAAAGTTATATGTTACACTGCCATACCAGGTACGCGCTTACTCTACAATATCTCTATTATGAATTTCTAGGTATAAAACAAAATAAAATAAAAGAATCTGGTAAAAGAGGAAGTTACTACACTATGTAGGTTGAATTTGTGTTACGCTTAGTCAGTGACCATTGCTTACAAAATCTAACAACTCTATAAACCACAGAGGCAGTATCTGCTATCTGAGTTGAATTATATTAAGAAGTTTGGCCAAAGTTATGCCAAGGATTCTAGCCTATACCTGGATGTCTCTGACATAATTATTAATAGTAACATTCCTTATTATTCTGTCATCATTTCAGTTGACAGATCCTTCTATAGAGGACATCACAATTGAAGGGGAAATGCTGGCCAGGGGGAAGTCAGCAGAAATTTTGCCAGGCTCACATTCTCATTATGGAACCTAATAATCAGCATTGGCCTGGTAGAAAGCAGACTGAAGTGAAGGGAAAAAGTCCCATTGTCTTCAGTGGGTTTTGGATAAGACTCAAGGTACAGAGAGGAATTCAGAAAACAGCTCCACTGGGGTGAGGCCATATTGTGTATGTAGGGTTTGTATTTCTTCTATACACCGTGACCTATAAGGGAAGACTAAAAGAATTGGGTTTGTTTCGTCTGGAAAAGAGACGACTGAGAGGGGACATGATAGCAGTTTTCAAGTACCTAAAACGGTGTTCTCAGGAGAAGGGAGAAAACTTGTTCTCCTTGGCCTCTGAGGACAGTGTAGAAAGGGATAACTGTACCACTGCAGATATATGGATTCAACCCATCTCATGCCATCCCTGTACTGCTGGTAAGCAAAGTGCTGGTCTAGATAAGTCTGTGTTCTGTATCCCAAAATTCATTTGAACCCCCTAATTACCAAGTTAAAGTGTTGCACGGAGCAGATAAACAACGGATCAGAAATCAACGTGCATTGCTGACTTTCTGATGTTCCCAAACCCCTTCCTGCATCCTACCCTGTGACCATCCAAAGAAAACGGATTCCTTTCATTGGAAAAACATCTAAATGCTGCACACCCATTGCACAGACTTGTTTGTACTGTGATCTGGCAGCAAAACAAACAAACAAAAAGTATAGTGTTTGGGCTCCCTACAGAGGGACATAACATTCTGGACCAGGAGGTAATCGTGTCTCTACACATCCCTGGTGTCCTCCCATAAGGAATAGTGTGGTCTGTTACGGACTGCACCTTATTTGACAGATATTGGGAATCTGGCGGGAGGTGAGAGATGAATGAGAAAGGATCGGGATGCAGGAAGAGCCGCTGAAACAGGTTTAAAATAAGAGTCTATACATGTAGCACTGAGCGAGTCAACCCCCTGTTTATTGCTGCATCTCCTTTGGAGTGCTTACCCGTAGCACCACACACAGCACCAGCCCAGCTGGGTATAGCACGCCAGGGTCAGGCAAATGGCCACGAAATTGTTCGGTTGTGTGGAACTACACGTGCAAGGCAAAGGCAGTGGACACTGGCACCATTTTACACAGGCATTGGTCATTTTAGTTGATGTGTCACTCCTGAAGTAACAAAGGCACAGAGAGCACAGCTGCTGATGAAATCCTGAAGTGTCCAAGGCCTGTACGCCACTACCCTGCTTACTTCAATGCTGCCTGTCAAAGTTATAGCTGAGAGATTGGGAAAGTGTCCTAGTGTACAGGAAGGAAGCAGACTGCCATCCCTAGAAAGCCAATCAAACACAGAAAATCTGGGAAAATCTTAAAAAATAACAAATCATCTAGCAGCACCTTAAAGACTAACAAAGCATGTAGATGGTATCATCAGTTTCATGGGGACAACCCACTTCTTCAGATGACTGGATTATTAAAAGTCCAGATCCAAAAATAAACAGAAGATGGGGGGAAGAAAGGAAAGAAAAAAATAGTGAATTAGATTGTTCAAGTTACAAGAAGCTGATAGAGAAGGTGAAAATTGTGCTTAAGTATCCATTGTTTAGTTGTTTAAGTCATTAGAATGTAGAAAGTAGTGTGCTAGCCAGGTAATGTTATTGTTCATAAGTTTTTGATGGCTTTCAAACTTGTATATGATGTTAAGTTCCAAAGCTTTCCTGTGTATTTGGCTTATGAAGTTGGCTTGAAACAGCATGGTGACTTTGAGATCCATTAATGAGTGGATTTTCCCTTTTCCAGTTGCAGACTAACTCAGCTACCCCTCTGAAGTAACATTAAATCCGAACAATCAAAAAAACCCAAATGGTCTGGAAGTACTTTATAGACAAGCAAAACATATAGATGGTATCATGAGCTTTTATGGGCCCAGCCCACTTCTTCAGACCAGTCATGTGAAAAACTGGCCTGTGCTCACGAAAACTCACAATACCATCTATATGTTTTGCTTGTCTTTAAAGTGCTACCAGACCATTTGTTGGTTTTTTTTAGTTTATCCTGTACAGACTAACACAGCTGAAGGGTTTTATAACTGTTATTGGGGGAAGGAGGCAGGATCACTCCTCCTGGAACTTTCACGCTCCCACACGAGTCTTTGTTCAAGTAACAAAAGCAATTCATCTCTTAACTAAATGATCTGCCAATGAATACGAAGACACACAAATAAAGCACTGGCAAATGAGCAGGGAGACCAAGTGTGAGGGAGTGTGCGCGTGAGTGACAGAGAGTTTGCAGGCCAAGACTTTAAATGGGTTCAAAAAAAGAGCCAGATAAATTCATGAAGGTCAGGTCCATCAAGATGGAAAGGGATGGTGTCTCTAGCCTCTGCGTCTCAGAAGCTGGGAATGAGCGACAGAGGGTGTTCATTTCTTCCGGGGAACCTGCCATTGGCCACTGTCCATAGACAGGATAGTGGGCTATATGGACCTTTGGTCTTACCCAGAATGGCTGTTTGTGTGTGTGTGTGTGTGAGAGAGAGAGAGAGAGATTGTGTATGTACCTGAGTTGCCAGCTTGTGCTTCTATGACATCGCTTCTATGGATACCTGAGATACTTACATCCAAGCTACTTTGGGTGTCCTGGCCAGGGCTGCAGTCCCGCCTCCGACTGCAGGGCACACATGCCCCAAGAGTGGGAGACTTGTGAAATTCCATCCCAGAATGGGTCGGTGTCCAGACTCCTGAGTGACACATTCAGAAATCAATGAGAGCAGAGATGTGCAAGCAGGCCTGGAATCTTTACATCCATCATAGAACCCCTTTACATTTCTTTACATTGTCCTCGGCAGAGAGCAAGCCCACCCACCTTTCCTACTTGACTGCCTGCATCACGTGAATGAGATGAACCCCAAAAGGCACTTAACATCAGCAAGCAATACTGGCTTTGCCAGGAGTGGCACGTCAACATGAAGGACAGGTCCATCAAGATATAGTCTGTGTCTGGACTTATGACTCTTTTTATTGAGTCTGCAGGTTTGACATGGAGTTGTGTCAAATTGGCCAGGCATCACCCTGCAGGCGGTAGTCTGCAGAAGTAAATTGCTGATCAGAGCTAAACCAGCAAGTATTTGTTAGATGTCCCAAGACGTTTTGAACAAATCATGGTGGCCCAACGTGTCTTATACAATCTGGGGTGGCACAAGATCCTTTGCACAAAGACCATGGAATTTTCCACTGCCAGAATTGCAAAAATCCCAACGTCCAATTTGTGGTGACAGTTCACATCTTTTCCAAAAGCAGGGCTCACCTTCTGATTGGCCCACTGCAGCTTTGCCAAGACAAAAACAAGCCTTCAACAACTGTATAAAACAGGCTGGTTCAGTCAGGGTGTCACTCCCTGGTGCTAAACTACTTGGACAAGAGAGACCCTGAGCAGAACGTTCAGCACCTGGTTACTGTGAGCGCCTCCTATCTGATAAGTATTACAGTCACTTCTCCAATAATCACCCTGCTAACTCTTCCTTTACAGTCCTGTCTAGAGACACTGCTGGGAGATAAAGAAAGAGAAGAATACAACTGTCATAACCCTTTGTGTGAACTAAGAGAATGAACTTTTTAGGTCTCTCAAGAAACCAAGTTTAGTGAGGATGAAGTGGAGAATTCTCAACTTCATGCCGGTTTGAATGGAGAAGTGGTAAAGCAACATATGTCATGTTTAACCCTCCTCTCCAAAAAGTTGGTTATTTTAAAGCTGACTCAGTTAACTCCACCTGCAGGTTAATTCCAGTTGTCCAAATTCTTTTTATCAGGAAATCCTAGCTATCCAAAGGTGTACTCCCTGTAGTCCTGAATTAGTTTACCCACCACTGATGAGCTACGCTTAAGGCTAGGGGAACTACAGTTGGGAGGATTTCCAGAGTTAAGAGTGATGACAGCGAGAAAGAGGGTAGAAAAGTGAGGGTAAAGGTAGCAGAAGAAAGAAAGAAAGAAAGAAAGAAAGAAAGAAAGAAAGAAAGAAAGAAAGAAAGAAAGAAAGAAAGAAAGAAAGAAAGAAAGAAAGAAAGAAAAAGTTAAGTTGAAGACTGAAAGGAGACGGATTAAGGGAGAGACAGGACTGCAGAAGGCAGATCAGGAGTTCAGGGAAAGAAAGCAGGGCAGTAGGGAAGAGAATGTAGAATGCAGAGAGGAGATGGAGAAAATGGATAGGAAAGAAGAAGAAAGGCAGGAAGTGGGGCTGTAGCTGTATGCAAAAGGGGCCTCTTTGGCGCTGTTTCAACACAGCCAAGAACTATAGGCTCTGAAAACACCAAAACAAACAGTGAGGGATGGGGACAGCTCCCTCCTCCTGTACTATGTCATAAAGCTGATGCTTTAATCACCTTCCTTCTCCTCTCTGTGATTTCTTACTTACTTTTAGGACTGTGTTAGAGCATATATAGGATGTATATGTGAGTCAACGCTGCTCTCAACACTTAGGCAAAAAGAGGGAGAAGCTGTTAAATGTCCATTAAGGGAAACATTGTTTCCACTATTTGAATATTTAGTTACCTTTGAATGTTTCATGAGAGAGACCAAAATTGGAGGACAGAGCTGAAATTCCAGGGAAATTGGAATAGGTTGTTAATGAGATGTTGTCAGCCCAGGGAAGAGACCTGACACACTTTCCCCAGGGCAATGTTGAGCCTTCTTGTAATTCAGTAATAATACAGTGTTGCAGGGTCACTGATTCAAATTCGGCCCAGCTGCCCTTCCCCCTCACGACAGAGGGTGACCTAAGGCAACTTTCAGTGGCATTGTGCATAGCCAGGCGAAATCTGAGTGAACCGGATTGAGCTCCGAAGTACCTATTCACAAGTCAAATTCGGCCCCCTATGAGTGGGTGAGATTGTGACCTGGTGCTCAGGTTCACAATACCCAAGAGCAGCCTTTGGTGATGAAGTTAAAAATACAGCCCTGAGACTGGCGTGGCTACCGAGGTAATATTGTGCTTTAAAAGACCCCCGATCCCACAAGCACATCATCACGGCTAGGTGGCAGTATTCTCACTAGGGCAAATGCAGGTAAAATCATTGCCAGTGCTGGGAAAGATTAAAAAGAGGATGAAAACTGCTGATTTAAATCACCATCTGTATGATGTGTCTGGGGTTTTTAGTTTCCATAGCACAGGCACTCCCATAATTCCATTGGTGAACAGACTGATCAGAAGGGAAAAAAAATGTGCATTTAAATATTCCTAGTTCAATGTTGCTAGCAACATTGCCTTCCTAATGTAATATAGAACTGGGAAAAAGTTTTCCACAGTAAAAAGGCTGTGATAAGGCCTTCGATAAACTAATGTGATTTACAATTTCTTGGTAAATTGTAACATCACATGATTTGTTCATTCTTTGATATTGCATAAACATGTACATCCAGTCACCTTTTTTTTGCTTTCTGTAATTTCTTCATTGTTTTCCATTCTATTTTGGGTAATACAATACAAAATATTCAGTAATTCTCTGGTCTATACTTTGGCTAAGCAGAGCGAGATTCCAGTGAAAAACCCAACATAAGTAATTGGTTAATTAAAATATTTACAGAATATCATTATTTCAAAACATGTCTTGTTTTACATATTTGTATTTCTCTGAAATTCTACTAGGATGTCTCTTGTGCTGTATGGCTAACAAAGACTATTCTTAAGAGATTGCAGAACACATATTAAAATGTTAATTGGTTTAAAGATATATTTCAATAGCTCAGCATGTCACAATCCCCAGTGTCCTAGTGCAGTAGTCCCACACCTTTTGGGGCTGCCAGGTTCCCGGGGGCAGGGCCGCTCATGTGCCGTGCGCCCGGGGCGGGAGCCGCACATGTGCCACTTACCCAAGGTCTGGAGCACAAGAGTGGCTTGGGCCGGCCCTGGTCACTTGGTGGGTGCACATAAATGCCCCGGCAGGCGCCATGGCACCTGCGAGCACCGCATTGGGGACCACTGTCCTAGTGTCGTCTCTCTCCTTTTTATCTTGGTGTCTCTTCTCTCTAGTGGCACTAAGTTCCCTGCAGACCTTAAGCCATGAAGATCCTCCATCGGCTCTTTGCTGTTCTCTTCCTCGTGCTCCTGGATTCCCTGGGTAAGATATAAATGAAAACAAGAGATGATACAAAGGGACAACTAGGAGCCTGGATTGGGTTTGTCTAACATTTTCCATTAGAAAAATTATTCTAACTTTTTTTATGCACTCTAGCAGCTGCCTCCAAGAAAAAAACATTGAGATTTGTCTGAATTATGATCAGTCAAAACAAAATCCATGTCCCCTCAGCGTTTTCCTCAAATCTTGGTAAGGTGTGCCACTTAAACCTCCCCTCATTCTGTCTACGCAGCTCATATTCTTCCCATAACGAGCCAACACAGAACTGAATATCTGAATTCCATGCTGACAAATGAAGTCTGACCAACCCTGCTCAATATGTCCAAGGGTTTGAGAGATGGTGCATAGGATCGGGAGTCAGGAGACTGTGGTTTAAAATATAACCTCTGCTGCTGACTAGTGTGTAACTCTGTGCCTTTCGCAAGCTGACATCTCATAAATCAGGTCTCATGTCCCTTTGAGGGGGTACATGGTTGAGAATAGAAACCAGATCTCTAACATGGCAGCACTTCATCTCAGCGCCTTAATCCCATCCTCTCTCAGAACCTGCTACAACAGCCAACTTGGCTTTCTGTGCAGCCAGACGGGACTTTTTCAAAACCTTCTCTTTCAAAAAGCTACAGTCATCTAGGAAGTCAATTTAACCCTACATTGTCAGATTGCATTGATCATAACGCCTGCCCCAGCTCTGTGAGAGCCAGAGGGAATCAAAACCATGCCCCAGCCACAAAAGGAAGTTAACAGCAAAAGCCACCATTGGCTTTCCACCCCTTAAAGCAGGGATGAGCAACCAAAAATAGTGGGCCACATGAGGGGCCCACCTTCACTTCAATGGGCAACAGCAGCCCGTGGACCACTGAGGTTCCGCGCGCAGCCTCACGCCCCTTCTGACTACTCCCTCATGTACCACTCACACTCTGGGGCACCAAAGCCCTGCTCTTACCTGCTCCTCCTCCCCCTCCCCCCCAGCACTTTCGGAGCACTCCAATCACCGGATTCATGCTCGATCCCTTCCCCTCGTCTCCCTGCCAGATCTGGAACCCCACAAACAGCTGATGCTTGGTGTTCTAACCATGGAAGAAAGTGGGAGGGGTGAAAATGGAGTGTGAATTAGGTAATTTACGGCTATTCTGAAAGTGCTGAGAGGGAGAAAGAGAAGCAGGTAAGTGCAGTGCTCCAGGTTGCCCACCACTGCCTTAAAGGCAAAGAGCAGCAAAGGACACCCATTCTGAGTGAGACCGTTCTAAGATGTTCAGCTGGAGAATCAGTGCCCTGTTTGATTAAAGCTCTCCACTCCCTTCTTTGAGGCTGCCCTTCAACATGGGTAGAACTACAACCATATTAATAGTACTAAAGCGGTGATAGTTTTACACAGGAAGATAATTGGACTGACTTGGCCAGGTCTTAGTGAATGGGAGCTGCCTGTCATCTCTCCTACAGTTTTCCCTTTGTAAGGCTGGCAGACTGCAGGCAGAGCCAAACCTGGGACTTCAGTGCATGACCTCCTCTACTGCATCAGCTGGTTAATTAGTAGCTAAGCCAGCTCGCTGGTACCTTAGGGTATGTCTACACTACAGAGTGTAGTAAACTAACTTTAATAGGCGCTACACTAGCGCTCCGCTAGTTCGAATTTAATTCGAACTAGCAGAGCGCTTAGTTCGAACTAGGTAAACCTCATTTTACGAGGATTAAGCCTAGTTCGAACTAGCTAGTTCGAATTAAGGGCTGTGTAGACCCTTAATTCGAACTAGTGGGAGGCTAATCCTTCCCAGGTTTCCCTGGTGGCCACTCTGGCCAACACCAGGGAAACTCTATGCCTCACTCCCGGCCCCGGACCCCTTAAAGGGGCACGGGCTGGCTACGGTGCCCGTGCCAGGTGCAAGCCTGCCAGCACCCAG